GTGTGTGTGTGTGTGTGTGTGTGTGTGTGTGTGTGTGTGTTGCTGCTGGGGCGTGGTGCTGAACACAAACGTGACATGTAGAAGCGTCAGCAGATCAAATCCTAACTGCTTTCGTCATTCATTCCTGCTGCCTTTGGCTGTGAGTAAAACTATCCACGATGGTGTGTTCCTTTCAGATGGAAATGATTCAGCTGCGAGCACACAGCTGAACCCCCCCCACCCCCCACCATGACAATCCTGTTGCTGGACAAAGAAAGCGGAATTCCCACCCCTCCTCTGTGTCCCACAGCCAACATATCAATCTAAGGAGTGGACTGCACCTGCAGTCGATGAGGATGCTTTTATTTAGGATGAGGGGGATCCTAATGAGATTTTTTATTATTATTATTTATTATGCATGCTGTTTAAAAACCCTTCTCCTCCACTCGTGAGCCCCCACCCACTACCTACACACAAAGGAATGCCACACAAAGGAAGTCGACTAATCGATACCATGAAAATAAAACCAAACTACTACACCTGCTGATCACGTGCACATGAAGAGCATGATAGGAAAATGATAATAAAAGGTGCAGCTGCAGCTCCCTGCTTCGTTCAATCGGTTGTGTGGGAAATGATGGAAAATCGTAAATAACAGCTGATCCACAGGACATCTGCAGCTCTCTGAATGACTAAATGAATAAATACAAATAATCTTTAAATYCAACCCCGTGCCTGAAACCTTAACTTTGCGTGAACTCATCTTTAAAAGCACACACACATGAGCCCATTTGTAAACACAAATACTGTCAAAGAGTTGGAGTTAAAACTGAAAACAGACAAAACCAGCTGTGCTGACGATAAGTTTCAGACCAAAGACAACATGAGCAGTTTTATCAGGCACGCATTCTTCCTGACGAAACTCAATCAACTCGTGTTTAACGAGCAGAAATACGAGCATTTAGCGGAAAAGAGCTGCCAACTTTCGTGTTAGCAAAACTATCGGCGGTTGCCTCTGAGACCAACCCGAGCACAGCGGTTCTTTCACTATTAAAATAAACACCAACCCGACCAGAACTGACCCGAACTCACGTCTGGACTGTGGGTTTTAAAGCTCCGGTGTCATTTCTGCTTTTGCTTTTTTCTTTTTTCAAAGCCAGACAACAATAAACATTCCTCAGACAGACAGAGCTGACCGCAGACCCTGCGCCATCTTAGAAACACACGTTTGTTTCCCTTTTCTTCAACAAAGACCGCTTCCAACCGAACTGCGAGCGGAACCACAGAAAAACATCCCCTAAAACAAAACTTTTAAGGTTTAGGATGAAAGGACACTTACCAGCGTTTAGCTGAAATCTTGTCCCGAAAAAGAGGACGATCAGAAGGCATGGTATTACACCCATCGTGGCCACGGACTAGACTGGTACCCTACTGCTGCTAACTTCTCCGAGAGACCAAAGCGTGAGAGCCCTGATTGGCTGAGAAAGGCTTGAAGTCCCGCCTTTACAGCGCCTGTCTACTAAAATCACACGCTGATTGGCTAGTAGACTCATCACGTCCCGCCCCCTGAAAAACTATACCACCCCTGTAAACAAAAGCTCATCTTTTCACTATCGGTAAACCATTCACTGTAATTAAAACTACAACTGGAATCACTATTATTTCTCCGTTTTTTTGGTTTTCCATACTTAATTTAACAACAATTTTTGGCGTACTCTGTGGTATTTTAACCAGTCATAAATCAAAACGTTCAGCTTACAAAGTTCAGAGATGAATGCTATTAAAAAATTTTTATAACCTTTCTATATTTTTTAAATATTTAACTTTATTTACAGCTCTTTCCCCATAAAGATATATAAGACAACAACTGTCTTATATTGTCTATATTTTTCCTCATGCATAAAATAACTGAATATTATTTAATTTTCTTCAAAAACATATTTTTCTTACAAATAATACATGCTAGGTTTTGTCATCTTATGCCTATTTTAGCTTTTAGTCCGATTGTGTTACTTTTAACTTCTAAGTAGCCTTTCTTTAATTTCAACTATGATTTTGATACTTTCAGCAAGCTTTTGCTATTTATAACATACTTTTACTACTTTTAGACTTTAGCTAGCATTTTGCAACTTTTAGCTTCTAACTAGCCTTTCTGTAATGTTTAGCTATCCTTTTGATACTTTTAGCCAKCTTTTGCAACTTTTACAATTTATTGTTTTGCTGCATTTGCCAACTTTACGATTTTACCCAGTGTTTTGCTTCTTTAGATAGATTTCTGTTTTATTATTATTTAGTTTTGAGCTTATTTCACTCAGTTGATTGACATAATGAAAGAATAAATAAATTGATGGTTAATAATTCATGGACATGTCTTTTCATGGCCGAGGGTGAAACTGAAACCTCCAGAAAGCCTTTAGGTCCTGAAGATGATGATGTTTTTATTAGATAGAWGGGACATGTCACAGTGGTTCCAACAAAGGCAACGTGTCTTTGTAATAACATCAACAACTCTCCTGCCGCCACCCTTCACTGATAAGATACATTCAATGACATGCTGTGGCTAGACCTGTGTGCCTCACACACGCACACGCACACACACACACACACACACACACACACACACACACACACACACACA